ATATATATATATATATATATATGAAGAAGATGAAAAAGAAAAAAAATAAAGATTTGAATTTTGGTACTTTCAGGTAATGAAAATAGCCTCATCTAAAAGTAAAGATGCAATTGATACACCATCAACAAAGTTTCATCATTTGATACAAATTTTTAAGAATGGCAAGAATCTCAAGTTAATTTTTTTAGCAAGAAATGTTCAAAAATTAAATTTTAAAATCATTCATAACTCTGATTTCAGCAAGCTTATAAGACTCGAGATGAACCTAATGAAACCAATGTTTGTCTAATCTAAGTCAAATCAAGCATAGATCGTGTCATTAAACAATTTTTTGATGCTTATAGTTCTCAAATGGAAGATCAAATAGATTCCAAATCTGACAAGCTCATATTTAAATCAAGTAGCTCGATGAGATGAATCCAACGAGCCCAAGTTCACTTAATTCTTACACTATTAAGGTATTCAAATGTTTATAGAAAGTCGTTTGATCAAGAGCATCCCTTTGGGTCATCTAATGAAGTGGTCAAGATTCTTTCCTTATTTGTTAGGAGACCCATCCTAGACTCTATAAAATGAGTTTTAACCCCTTCATGAAAGGGTAACTGGACCTAGACCTTGAGCCAGAGAAAGACCAAGAATTGGAGAAGAATGTGTTGAGGTCTAATGTTCCACATTGAAGGTCCAACGAATGACACCTGCTCCTGCAATTATTGACCACCATTGACTACTGCCCACCAGCCACCATCATATACCATCAGTCTCATTACAGTAAAGACCCTTATTGATCACAATGTGTGTTGGCAATCCCAACGTACACTACAAAGTATAAAGCATTGTGTAGAGTAATGAATGGCCTTACAGAGTAATGAAGCATCCTATATAACAATGCACCAAAAAAACAATGTAACAATACATACCAAAGATAGTGTAATAATGCTAAAATATGGTGCAATGCACACCCACATACAATGTAAGAATGTATACTGAAGATGGTTTAATAATGCCTTGAAGATGGTGCAATAATCACCCCACATACAATGTAGCAACGCACGACAAAGTCGGTGTAACGATGCACCCCAACGATGGTGTAATAACACACTATGAATACAGTGCAATGATGTGTCCAACATATGGTACATTGATGCATTTCAAAGAGGGTCTAACAATGTATCTATAATAACTACTAATAATTACTGCATTGAGTATAAACTGACTTTCTCCAGACTTCTAAAGCTTTATTCTTGCAACTCACAACTACTACAATGTGAACAACCATAGCTTAAATGGTTCACAGCTCTTGTAGCTCCAAACTCTAATATCTTTGGCCTATAAGTGCTATCATAGCTCATGCATCCCCTTACAATGGCATCTACAACCTACAAATGTCATCACGGGTTGTGTAGCTCCCAACTCCAACCTCTATGATTTACGAATATTAACTTAGCTCATGCAACTCCCAACTCTGAATTTTGCATCAAACGGATAATATCACCGCTCATTCAACTAAAAATTTGGCTTTTGTAGCCTACAAATATTATTACAACTCACGTAGCTAATGAATCTAGCCTCAGTGATCTAAGGACATGACCACAACTCATATACTACCAACTCTGGCCTTTGAAGCCTACTTATTATCTTTAGCTCATACATCTCCCAATTATAGCCTCTGTAGCCTACGAAAGAAATTACAGATCATGTTATTCTTAACTCTAGCTTCTACAATTTACATACATTCTCACATTCTATACAACTCCCCACTCCAGCCTTTACGACCTACAAATATGATCACAACTCATGCAACTCCCAACTTTAGCCATTATGCTCTATGGGCATTATCTCAGCTTAGGTAACTCTCAACTTTGCTCTTTATGACCTACAAACATCATCTCAGGCATCTCATAACTTCGATCATTGTGACCAACGGATGTCATCACAGCTCTCAAGTTTGACATTTGTGGCCTATGGAAGTTATTGTAGCTCTCTACTATGACCTGTGTGTGTGTGTGTGGGGCGCGTGCGCGCGTACGTCGCGTACCTCGGCCTGTTGGTCGGCATTCTCGATGTAAGTCCCCTTAGGTCGGGGGTTCGAATCCCCTTTGGCACATTTGAACTTAAGAAGGTTGTACTCAAATTGATAAGAATATTAAGAGTGGCTGGAGGCTCGTATAATAGCCTCTGGCCATTTCTTTTATATATATATTACATGAAATCAAAGGAAAAAATATAATGGAATTAATTAATTTATGTGTTTTGTTTCACTTTCTTTTGTTCTCAACGTATTTGTTTTTATCATTTCATCTGTATTTTCACCATTACAGGTTTCTCGACAGCTTACTTAAATGTCGAGATTGGATACGCTCTGGTGTTAAAGTCTTTACAATGACTCATTAAAAATTTTACAAAATTAAAATACTTTTTTTAATTGCAAGTAAATCATATAATATTTAAAGTTGTATGTGAAGTATTCAATGAGTCCAACATAATGAAAATTAAGCCTAGATTCTTGTTGCTTCATTTACTTCAATAATTAGATAATTAACAAAAAAAATTTAAATATATCTAATAAACTCCAAAAAAAAAAAACATTTTTTTATAGAAATATAAGAGTTTTAAGTTAACATGATTTCAAAAAAAAAAAAAATTTTGAGCATATGAAAGGGTACAATTTGCATACATAGCACAATTCCTACATATTTACACACATCTCACACCTAAACTATATTATTTACCAATATAAGATATTGGTGCATTAAACACATGCACTAGAAGATGAGTTTTCACTTTTAAAAAGAGATAATTGTTTTTTTTTTTTATTGTGCCACTGAAAATAGAATTGTTAGCTACTTGTGTAAATGCCCCTAAAAAAGATTATCTTTACATTGAGTCATTAGAAAAATTGTAACAAAATAATTAAAAATATATTTATGAAATTTCAGTCATATAATGCAGTAATTTAGCAATCAGTTTCATATGAACATGATACTTTAGCACATAATTACTAATAATCATAATAATCATTTTATCTTATATAAATCTAAATACATATTGAAATTTTATTAACATCTCTTAAGAGTGATTTATCATTTAGACTTATTTCCTATCTATTAGATTAATTAATATTCATTCAAAGTAGCAGGGCAATTCATCTCAAGAATAAATTTCCTTCATACTGCGCCATGGCACATCAAGAAGCCATTTGCAATTTGCTGCATAATCAGACCGCATATACTCAGATTTCAACAATCATTTTTTCTTTTTTTGAAAAGAAGAAAGATATTGAAATTTTTTAGATGAACAATTAAGGATGCAAAATATATAAGAAAATAACAACTTTACTCATTTAGTTCATTGTAAACGAGCCGAGCTCGTGTTCAGCTCGTTCGAAATTGCTCGTGTTCGAACCCGGCTCGTGAACAGTGTGTTCTTGTTCGGCTCGATTTAAATATTTGTGTTCGTGTTCGACTCGAAATTGACCCGTTAACATTAAACTGAAAAAATAATAGTAGAGTGCTGGATTCGAACCTGAACCAAATATATACAAAAGACGAAGCATAACCACATTACCATACGAGTAATTTAGTTTTAAACTTAGATACAAATATATATAATATATTATTATATAAATAATATATGAAATATATTATTATATAAATAATTATATAATTTTTTTTATTTCAAGCTAAAACGACCCGAACACGAGCGAACAAAAAATTGTTCGTGTTCTGCTCGTTTACTTAACGAACGAGCCGAACACGAGCTACTTAACGCACCGAGCACGAGTTGTTCGCGAACAATTGAGCTTTTTTGACAGCCCTAATGATCACGTTGCAAAAAGATGAAGCGGATAGCAATTTGATTTTTCAGCAGGGCAATTCATCTCAACAAGCAACCACAAGTGGAAATGTACCGGATATTAATGTTTAACCAGAGAAAAAAATTGGCATATGGATACCAAATTGTAATACCATTAAAAACAAAGGAGAAGAAGAAAAAGCAAAAGAAAACAATTCTACATAACCATTCCAAATAATTTCGGAATAAAAACAGTCAAAAACAGACAAATCACCAAATTGGGAACCAGCAGGCACAAACAGCACGTAGCACCTTTGCATCTAGAGAGGTTCTAACCAACTACTTTGAACTTCGTACTAAGGGGGAAAAAAAGCATGAGCTGAATTAGTCAAGCCATCGAGCAACACCATCTTCTTCGTCGACAACGGCAACTATCTCAACACAAACATCCAGTACAACCTGCAAACATTTCATAGAACCAGATGTTAGATCAAACATTCTTGCAAAATCTACCGACAGCAAAATTCAACTCTGAAGTCTGATTCTTACATACATCATTTAAGCATGGTATTCTAGCTTTAGCCGAACATTCTGGGTTTGCCAAAAAATGTCCATTATAAGTATAATGCACATATTCTAAGTATAAATGCTTACAAATTGTTCCTTAACTCTAATTTGAGTGAAACTGATCTAGGGCTACTAGAAAGTGTCACATGTTCCACGTCTTTTTAGGTCTACCTCTACTTTTTGTTTAACATAAGTTAAATCTAGAGCATCTACTCTCTTAATGAGATCATCAGGTGGTCTGCGTTTAATTGACCAAACCACCTAAGACGACTCTCCATAAAATAGTCTGTGAAATATTGCATTTGCATTACCATATCAAAAAGTTACAAAACATACAAAAGGCTGCTAAGGAGCAGTTTCTACAAAAAGACGACAAGGGATGACTATCATATAAATCATTCAAACAAAACTATCTTGTTAAGCAAGCTGTGCACAACAAATGAGTCGACTCATTATTGGCTCTAGAGGTAAAAGAAAAAGCACAAGACAAAAGTTGGTGAGAAATGCCAACTCAACAGACCGGCTCCCCGGTTCCGAACAGTCCCCTCCATAGAGTGTTAAAGGGCATCAATCACATTGCTATTGTCCCCTTCAACGACAATCCCTCTGAGCACCAAAAGCTCCACCAACGCATTGATGTATAAAACCGCCTCGATTTCCAAGTGTGGCATCTTCTATCCCGCCGCAATCATACAATTTCCCATCTCGTCCCGAATAATCACACCCAAACTCGATATCCCCAAAGGAAGAAAGGATCCATCTACATTTGTTTTAACCCAACCAGAAGGGGGAACACCAATGCAGAGAAAAGGGAAAACCACCAAGTTGAAGGATGCCCCATTGCTCCTAAATGGGTAAAGTCTAGGTCCCAAAGGGCCGGTCATATTTTTTTGCATTTCTAGCTCTCCAACAAGTGTACACTGCTCCACAGTAAATTCTTTCGATGGCACGGTGAGTCCTAGGTATCTCCTTCATCTGTTTGCAAACATCATTTAAACTGTGGAAAGTTGGGATTATAATTCCCCACTTCAGCAAAACTTGAAAAATGAGCTTGAGAATTCTGCAATTAGAATGACATGTGTATGGCCTTCCACGTCTAAACATCCCCATGGGCAAAGCGGGTCCTCACCAATATTCCTCCTCTATAACCAGGCGTTAGTAGAATTCTTGTCTGCGACTGGAGTTACAACCACCCTTTTGCGGATATATTTGTTTCCCATTTGGTCCAAGTGTCAAGCCACCCATCCACCTAAGCATTCTCATCTCAGCAACGCTTGGTTTTATGCTTCTCTTTTAAAGGCCAACATTTGGTGTCATAAAGCATTGCAAGTCTTAACACCATCTTATAAAATTTTCCTTTTAAGTCTAAGTGATATTTTTCTATCATACAATAGGCCTGATGCATTCCTCCACTTCAACTATCCAACTTGAATTCTACTAATAACATCCCATCTATATCACCATCACTTTGAACAATAGTCTAAAGTTATCTAAAACATTCACACCTTTTAATGATTTGATCACCCATTATTATAACTTTACAACTAGATTTACTACAATTAAAACTACATTCCATCCATTTAGTTTTAGATCTACTCAAACGAAGGCCTTTAGACTCAAATATAGACCTCCATAGTTCAAGTTTTTTTGAACACTTTCTCCAATCTTATCAACAAGAAAGATGTCATTAGCAAAAAGCATAAACCAAGGTGCATCCTCCTATAAACGTCCAGTAAGAGCACCCAAATATAAGTAAAAAGATACGGGCTTAAAGCCAATCCTGAAGTAATCCAACTGAAATTGGAAAATAATAGGTCAATCCTCCTTTTCTTCAAACAAGTAACACCTCTAGTATACATATCTTTAATGACTTGAATATAAACCACATCAACACCTTTCTTTTCTATAACTCCCCAAAGAACTTCTCTTGAACCCTTATCGTAAGCTTTCTCTAAATCCAATAAAAATAAAAATAATACGTAGATCCTCCTTTCTCAGCACTTCTCCATCAAACCTCTCAATAAATGTATGACTTCCATAATAAACTTGTCTAGCATAAATTCAAACTGACTATGAGAAATCTTTGTATCACATCTTAACATATATTCAATTACTCTCTCATAATTTTAATGCATGACACATTAATTTAATTCCTCTAAGTTTGCATCCCCTTTATTTTTAAAAATGAGGAACAAAATACTTTCTCCACTCTTAGGCATCCTTTTTGCTTTTAAAATAACCTTAAATGATTTAGCAAGCTAAGAAACTCCGAAATCTCATAAATATTTTAACACTTCTATTGAGATATCATAAAGTCCTATTGATTTTCTACCCTTAGTTTTTTTTAAAGTCTCTTCAACTTCCCATTTACTCATGCGACAATGAAGATAAAAATGTTTGTTATTATTAATGATATTAAAATCACTAAGGTTTATCATATTTTTAAAAACTTTATTGAAAAGATTATCAAAATATTTCACCCACCTATGTTTAATATCTTCCTCTAAGAAAAACACCTTTTGATTTTCATATTTAATACACTTAGATTAAATCTTTCCTTTTCTTCTCTTCGTTTGGCTAGTTTAAGCAGATATCTTTCAATTTTTTGAATATCAAATCTATTATAACATTCACTAAAAGCTGAAGTCTTAGGGTGCCTTTGGGGCAGCTTATTGTGTTCAACGGCTTTTTGAGAACGCCAAAATTTTGTTTGGTTCCCGCGTTTCTTTGGCGGTTTTGAAAATAGTGTTTAGGTTTTTGTTAAAAAAGCGGGTCACGAGATCGACCCCGCGTCTCGCTTCTAATAGCTGTGTTTTATCGGAACTACCGTCGGTGCCCTTCTCCATCGTCAACGGTGATCGCGACTGCTTAGTTTGCCTCGGGAAGTTTCGTGACGGCGATAGCCTCCATTTTCTTCCAAAGTGCAATCATGCTTTTCATAAGAGCTGAATAGACACGTGGCTAAGCTCGCACTCGAACTGTTCACTTTGCCACGCTGGTGTTATCGGTCCAGTTGAGCATTCGATTGCAAAGAGTGAAGAAGAAGGTGAGCTTGTGGGTGATCTTGCGGCGGCTAAGGATTTGGAAGAGGAGAGGGAGTTGTTGGAGGGGAGAAGAGATGGGGATGATGACAATGTAGTGATTGAGATAAGAGAGGAAGGTTATAAGGTTAGGATGGCCTGTGAATCGTCGGAGGGGACAAGTACTGTTTCTGTGAAGAGATCTTTGTTTCCTTCTCGTGTAAGTATTGGAATTCATTCATGATGAGAAATTTTATTTTGTTACTGTAAGCTGAATTTCCTTGCTGAATTGTTTGTTTGTTTTTTTTTTATCATTTCTTTTTTTATGTAAAAAATTTACTTGTCACATACCGTGCTCAGCTCATCTCCAATTTCCGCAATGAGGGCCAATATTTAGAGGAAGTTGTGTGACTCACATCGTAGCTAGACTTCTTTTTTCTTTTCGGTGCATCAGTATATGAGGATCTATTGGATGACAAACGCACAAACCAAACAGCTAAACAACTTATCCAGATCAAGGGCAGAATGGTCATTTATCCAGAAACAGCTGCAAATCAGCTGTTCTTCAAACACACAAACCAAAAAACCAATAAACTTATCAGGATTTAGCTGTTGATCAGCAGCTTATTAAGATAAGCTGTTTATCTGGATAAGCTGAATCAGCTGCAGCTGCCCCAAACAGACCATTAGTTTCATAAAGTGTTCTTTTAGACTACCTACGAGTCAATTTAGATATATATTTTTTATTTTCTAAACTTTTACATTTAAATCAATTTTTATAACAAAGTTTCTTATATTTTATTTTTTCTAGCACTATCATTCCACCATCAACTATTATATATATATATTGTTCTCTAAGTACATTTACCACTTATTTAATAGTCATTGATGTTTTATCTCACATAATTAACTTCTTTATGAACATCCCAAATCTTAAAATCTTGAAATTTACTCATAAAATTAATTTATGTTTATTTAGATGCCCCCATCTAATTCTATGATAAAATTTCATTGTATTTTTTATTTTTCAACTCTTCATCATAAAATTCATTACTAATAATTGATGTCGAGTATTTAAATTTCAACCTGGAATGACATTAGAATATTTATATATTCAGCAGATTCATTATATTTCGGTAATAATATATTCATCTCTTTTTTAAATAATATATTAACAATAACAAAATTATAAGCTAAAGTCAAATCTAATATAGTTCTATCTTCTTAATTAAAAATTCTAAAACTATAGCCAATATCAACACTCTTAAAATATTCTATCACTCCACCAACATGACCATTTAGAATCCACTCCAATAAAAATTATTTCTTCAAAAGAAATTATTTATGTTAATTCTTCTAGGTCATTCCAAACTTTTTCTTTTGAAATTATATTTAAACCTACATGTGGAGCATAAGCACTTATAACATTAAAAATCTTAGTGTCAATAACGATCTCTAGAACTATAATTCTATGTCTAATTATATTAATTTTTAAAATATTATCTTTTAAATTCATCTTACACCATTTCTAGTGCGACTCTTACCTGAATGCCAAAGTTTACCCTAAGCGATCAATCTCGTCAGTCTTTTCCTCAATTCATTTAATTTCTTCAATCCATAAGATACTTCTTATGAACCATAATATCTACTAATTCGATTAATTTACTTGTGAGAGTACTATATTTCAAGATCATATCCTAATATTAGTTTTATGGACTAACTTCTTTGTGCGGATCCGCCCATAATATGAGAATCATTGCTTATTTAATGTTACACCCGAGTGCCGATGTAGAGACTCTTGTAGATTTTTCACTGTATTCAGGTCATACAGCGCGTCGCTTCCAAGAAACGTCATGACATTTACACAATCATTTAAAGAAATCATGGAATGATTTTTCGACAAATTTTTATTCTTATCGTTAGCTACCTAACATAACCCTTCACTTTTCGCATCCGTCCTAAAAGAAAATAACCACAAGTAAAAAATATGAAAATAAAAAAAAAATTAAAAAATGTAAGAAATCCCCTCTAAAGCTATATTGAGATGAGAATTTGTTTGGTTCACACATCCGCGATCACAAGATCCCATTCCGCAATACGAGGAATCCTAAACTAGTAGGATCATGGAACTTCCGCTCCTGCAATTCTGCAGGAAGCTTCCGCATTATTCCCCCAAACTAAGAGAGGCTTTTTATTCTCTGGATGGACCTAGATCCCACTGTCGACATTATTTTCTTCAAAACACATGAGATTTCAAAAATTAACTGAACTAGAACTTAATACCAAACTTACTCTAAGAATCTTAACAAAACAAATTTCAAAAATTTGCAAACTGTCTAAAGTGATGACATATTGAATCGCCCTCGATAGGGGCTACCCTGTGTCAGGTATTAACTCCTCGAACTCATTGTTTTCTTGGACGATCAATGCTAGTCTTGTTGATGCTTTTCTCAAAGCCTGTAAAAAAAATAGTTTGTGACACTGCATCCTCAAACTCTGTACGAACGTCCACTACCTTAGACTCATTCAAAAGCAATCACACAATGTGCTTCCTATCTTTGGTGAATGAGTAAATACTTTTGCAGTCATCATCAAGTGTACTATGATTACACTCTCATGGTCAACCTCAAAGAATATGACGCACATCCATAGGCATGGCATCACATCAAACCTAATCATGTGGCTTGTCTCCATTTAAAAATTCTATCAAATAACTCTTATCTACATTGTGGGTAGCGAAACTCAACCTGTTAATCATCTGTGTAGATACTATGTTTTTATACTTTTCACCATCTAAAATGAGATTGCACAATTTCTCTTTCACAATGCAACAAATACGAAAATATTGTATTGGAGCATCTCTACCTCGTCTGTTGAAAGTTGGTACTTCTTTTTGTGTACTCAACTTCTCTAGTTTTTTATGTGTCATTGTCTATGTTTTCCACTACTTCCAGCTTAATGAAAAAGATCTAGTTTGGGCAATCAATAACAATGTGCCCAAAATTATGACACTTGAAGGTACTTCTTGGCTAAGATGAATTTGGAAGTGTGGCCCATCTCTATTTTTCTTCACTTTGGATTACTTTCTTCTAAGGAAAATAGCATAGTTGCTCCACTGGGTGTAGTCTAGCTGCATGATCCAGCGGTAGAACTTCACCTGTAAAGTGTAATGGTCATCTGATGAGGAAACAACAATTGTTCGATCTAAAAACAATCACCACCTATTCCAGAGTAAGTTACATACACACCATTTCCAAGAGGAAGAGGAAACAACAATCCAGCAGAAAATCAAACAAGAGAACTCTCAAAATACATAAACAAAACCTAAGATCTCAAATGAACAAATACAATAAAGAAAGACACCTAACCACAAATAACTCTAAAGAAATAGGAAAAATATTAGAAAGGGCAAGCAATGCCCTTCTCCCCCCGCTCTCTATCTCTCCCTCCTTGAAACTATACAGGGATGAGAATCCTCCCGGTTCACCCATCCCATAATTGTGAGATCCCTGATTCCGAAATTTGCGAGATTGAGGACTTCTGCTCCCGTGATTCTACAGAAAGCTCCAGGTGATTGCAACTCACTCAAGGCCAACCTACTTACCTAATTCTGCCTTTTCTACTACATCATACAAGTATAAATGCCAACGTGCAATTTTTTAATAAGTGAATGTTTTTCTTTGAATTTTTTTTAAAAATACATTATTATGCATAATCATGTAAAGGGGCATTTATATGCAACGCACAATTCTTATGTATTTACATATCTCACACCTAAACTTTCATATTTACACATATAGCACTCAAATCTTTAATACAACATTAAAAATAGCATTATTATCACTTTTTAAATATCAAATAAATATTTTCCTGCGTAGGTTTAAAGAACTAAAGTGCCAAGTATGTAATTATGGAAGCATAAATGTGAGATATGTAAATACATGAGAATTGTGTGCTACATATCTAAATTTCCCTAAATTAAATTACTTTACCAATATAAGAAGTGACTCAGAAGTTGCGGAGTGCATGAATAAAATCCTACTGTAAGTGGCACTTTCTTTAGATGCAATGATTATAGAGGAAAATGACGAGTGAGATGATACTCTGAAATCCCTTTGAACCAACAATTGACGAAAATTTCAAAAAGCTGATGTTCTGTCTTTATAAAGCAACAATACAAAAGAACTGCTGAAATACAAACATAATCTTAAAAGGACAAATAGCAGCAATTATAAAAGAAAGCCAAAGAACAACTTTGCAACTGGAAGTAACATTGAGTAAAAACCGCACAAGAGAATAAACTCTTTGTTCGTGACAGTTTGAATAGAGAGACAGGGAGGGGCAGAGAAAACGCATAAAAGTGCATGACGTGCTCAATAACCATACAGTAAACCACATTATTAAATAGAGAGAATTACTCCCACTTGAAGCCGCTTAAGTAAACAACGAAGGAATGTACTCACCAAGGGATTTCTACAATTGACAAGCCTACAATCTTCGAGCAAAGAGCCTTCTAACATCCAACTCTCCCATACATCAAAGTTGTAACTACCAAATACAAACTCCATTCGCCGATTTATCTGTCACCAAAAAGTGAAAAACATATATACAACAAAAATCAAATTCTCTTGAAATTATTACAATGCCGATCAACCCAAAATAGATTTTTACCATATACAGTTTGAACATCAAAATTATGCCATTTTATGGCCACATACACAGATGCCGTTTTAGTTTTGCAGCTTCAACATAACTTTATCTTGAAGAAAATATAAACTGCTAGCCAAAACAAACCAGTGATCCAAAAATATATAAATAGCACAAATTTTTAGATTAGAATCTTGCATCAACTGATCAAAATTGTATCTACTAGCAAATGCCGAAATGAAATATTATATAGCAGAGTTCAAAAAGAAGATTATGGGATTTACTAGCAGTCAAAACAATTTGATAGAAAGCATGATAATTCGAAGTACACAGCTCTAGGAAGATAACTCTCAGAAAAAATTATTGACCTTGAAAATACGAAGTTTTAGTGCAAAAAAATGATAATCGCATTAGTTATTGTTATCCCACCAATGAGTTGTTGCTAAAGGACATAAGGATAAAATAAAATCAGTTTCCCCTTTGTTTCATTATTTAATGGAGTTCTAACCTTGAAGTAACAATTATAAGTGTGCTGTAAGAGAATTACATGGACTTGGTAATGCACCTAACACATTCCATAACCATTCTGACGCGGAACAAAGTCTATAAACCATAGAAAATGAAAATGGACAAAGTGAATCATTTTGAATTAAATATATAAAGTTTTAAAATTAGCTCACTCATTATTTACATGTCCATGACAAATGTATTTAAATTGTCAAACTTGGACTGATTTTATTCCTATTTGGATCATTCGGTAAGGACTTTATTATGGAAATCATATGGTCTCTGTGGTAATTATTTCATTGGTTCCTATTCCTTACGGACTCTGTTCCAGCAAGCTTACTTCCGTAGAATTGTCCCTTTTTCCACAGTAATTATTGCTATTTTGTTCATACAGCATCTGTTTTCTAGTTCATCCTGCTTCGTAGGCACTTCAAAGGCTTCTAGTGGTCTATCAGCTTACATGGTTTGCGGTTTGAAAGCCTGTGGCAATTCTAGTGCACTTCATACTGATTTCTCCATTTTCTCCTGTGGTTCATGCAACTAATCAACCGGTGGAGGACATTACCCTATTCGTATAGTTTGCTGTCATCTATTTGGTGTTGCATGAGGCCTAAAACATAGGCTTGGGGGCATGTACAAAAATTAATTTATGGCATAAATAGAAGTTCATCTAGCTTTCAAGTGATCATGTTTTATGCAATTCTAAACCTGATAAAGTGCAAGATATGAAGCATGCTGGGGGCATGAACTTGTTCAAAAGTAAAGCTTTCTTATCATCTCTCCTTTTTCCTCCACGTTTTAAAAATTGGTTGAAAATGTTAAAGTTATTCCTTAGCTCTTCTACATTGCGATCTCTTATCCATGTGCTTGCCACCTACCATTATCAAGCCACCCTATTTAAGAATCGACATTCGATCAACAACTAAACTATAAAACCTTTGTCGTATTCATAATATCTCCTTTTTAATTATTTATGAACCCATGGTTAATGTTTCTAAATTGCATACTATCTCCAAACAGCTCGATTTTGATTTTAATTTTGCTAACCCCATCAACAAAATTTGGATTTGTTGGAAACTCTGGCTAAAGGTGGATATTTTGGAAGTTCCTGATCAGCTCATTCATTCTGAAATATCTTCCAAGTTTGCTAATGTTCACTGCACTGTGCTAGTTCTCTAATCAAACTAGTTTTGCGTAAGGAAGACCTATAATCCAAAATATACAAGGAACTCATAAACGATCAAGATTTAAAATTTAAAGGACAGAATTTAGTTTTTAAATTGGATATATCATAAGGGAGATATAATTGCATCTATCAGGAATAGTATTTCTAGCTAGGAACAATCTTTTTTATCTATGAGCAGTTGTCTTACACCAATTAAAAGTGTCCTTTGTTTGCTTCTGATATACTTACTCCAAACTACTCGACCATCAAATTCAGTTTGCTCTAGAATGGAAAAATTATTCAATAGATTTCTATGGGGATCCAAAGCTGTCTATAAACCTATTCAATGGTCCTCTTGGGAAAAAGTTTGTAATCCCTTAAATGGAGGTGGTCGTAAATCTCTTTCAGATCTTGAACATTCTTTTTCCTTCAAATTATGGTGGTTTTTAGTATTGGTAGTAGCCTCTGAGCCCCATTTATAAAATCTAAGTATTGTCAAGATAAGCATCCTATTATTTGCATTTACCGAAAAGAAGATTTTCCTATTTGGAAATAGTTCTGTGGTATTAAATGAGAAGTGGAAGCCCATAAGTAAAGGGAATTCATTCTTTTGGCAAGACAATTGTTTGGGAGCCTCTACTACTGATGCATTAATTAACTCTCACTCTCCTGCCTCAACCAAAATTTAATTTTTCATAAGGAATGGGAGTTAGGATGCGTCTAAAATTAAGTTTTTTCTACCTAACAATGTTATCAAAAGGATTATTAAAATCTTGATCAAATCTGACAGTTTGGATCAAATGCTTTTCGCTCAACTAACGATTATATATTTTCAGTAAAACATATGTGGAATCTTCTGAGGACTAAACTTCCTATAACTTCGAACTATTCCATTCTTTAGAGTTTAGCTATTACTACCTCATGTTCCTTCTTGTGTTGGAAAATTTTAAAAGAGTTCATCCCTATGGATGAAACTTTCCATTACTTCAAAATGTTAAAAATGTCGGCGATGTTCCCAAATTGAAACTATAGATCATGTTTTTTTAATGTGGCTATAGCTACTAAGCTATGGATTTAGATGGATGATCTATTTCAACAATTTATTTATGTTCCTAATTCTACCATTAATTTCATCTTTCAAAACATGTTATCTGTTTACATAGATGTAAATAATGAACATATCATCACTATTTTGTGCTGCTTTATTCTATGGTTCTTATGGGAAAAAAAAAAACACCGCTAAGCATAAAGGATTAAAAAATGAGCTTTCATAGGATTTTGAGGAATATTAAAGAGAGAATTGTTGACCTTATAAAGTTAACCTCATCTCTAAAAAGAATTTTAAGAAACGTTCTTTTATAGCCCAGAAATTTAGCTTGGTAGTTAACGACCATCAAAATACTTCCGATAACTTTGTTATATGGAAAAGGCCCATTGTTGAATGGATAGAACAATGGGGCTAGTATCGGTGGCCCTAGTTGTATCAGTCGACTTCCCTTATGGAAACTCAACCCCCCCCCCTTCCCCTCTAATGCCATGGATGATTTTAACGAGACTATTTTGGACTGTAGGTTATCTGATATAGGTTTCAGAGGCTCTTCTTTCACTTCGTTCCATAAAGTCTTGTGGCAAATATTAGGTCGCTTACTTTTAAACATTGAGTGGATTTCCTCTTTCTTGATATCAGTTGAACATCTGAGTTGGACTCACTCTGACCATACTTTTCTGCTTATCTCTATCAAAAATAATCTCTCTAATTTCAATCATTCCTTTATTTTCCAAAACATGTGGATTGAGCATTCAACCTGTTTGGATATTATTGCCCTTAACTAGAATGCGCCCCTTTTTTCCTAATGTTAGTATCAAGAGGATGAATAAACTATCGTTTAAATGTAAAGGCACAAAATGGCTCTTACTTGGTGGAATAAAAACATTTTCAAAAATCTTATCGCCAACATAAAAGAAGCTGATGCTAAAGCTATTAATTTGGAAAGTGAATGCCAAGACAATCATGATATTAATTCCAACCAAATTTACTTAACGCTAGGATCCACTTAGGCACTCTTGAAGACATGGAGGAAGAATTCTGGAAATAAAAAACTACTTGTAAATTTTTGAAAGAAGGTGATAAAAATACCAAATATTTTTATTCTATCTTCAAAAAGAAAAGAGCTTCCAATGTTATACGCAAATTTATGAATTTTGATGATAATAGTAAGATCGAAGAGGAAAGTGACATAGCCTCTGCGGTCCTTGATCACTTTTTCTCTATCCTCTGTAAGGAAAGTGTCCATGTCCCGATACCTAAACCTAATGGCATCCCTCTCATTATATCTCCAGAAGATAATTTCTCTATCTGGAATCCCCCTCGAAAGGAAGAAATTCAGAACTATATTTCATCTATGAATGTAGACTCTGTCGTTGATGGTTATACTATTATTTTTTTCCCAAAAAGTTGGCCTGTCATTATGATTGACCTACTAGATGATGTTTATGAATTTTTTAATGGTAAGCTTTTACCCAAATTCCTTCCTTCCACTTCCAATGTCTCAATGTCGAAAATCCCTAACCCTAAAAACTGGAGCAAATTCTGGCCTTCTAGTCTTTGTATGGTATCAATAAACCCATCTCAAAGCTTCTAGCATCTAGACTTGCTTCTCTGCTCCCCAAGATCAATTTCTCTAATCAAACTAGTTTTGCGTAAGGAAGACCTATAATCCAAAATATACAAGGAACTCATAAACGATCAAGATTTAAAATTTAAAGGACAGAATTTAGTTTTTAAATTGGATATATCATAAGGGAGATATAATTGCATCTATCAGGAATAGTATTTCTAGCTAGGAACAATCTTTTTTATCTATGAGCAGTTGTCTTACACCAATTAAAAGTGTCCTTTGTTTGCTTCTGATATACTTACTCCAAACTACTCGACCATCAAATTCAGTTTGCTCTAGAATGGAAAAATTATTCAATAGATTTCTATGGGGATCCAAAGCTGTCTATAAACCTATTCAATGGTCCTCTTGGGAAAAAGTTTGTAATCCCTTAAATGGAGGTGGTCGTAAATCTCTTTCAGATCTTGAACATTCTTTTTCCTTCAAATTATGGTGGTTTTTAGTATTGGTAGTAGCCTCTGAGCCCCATTTATAAAATCTAAGTATTGTCAAGATAAGCATCCTATTATTTGCATTTACCGAAAAGAAGATTTTCCTATTTGGAAATAGTTCTGTGGTATTAAATGAGAAGTGGAAGCCCAGA